GCCCCCTCGCCCCCCAACAACCCCTCCAACACCCTGTTTGTTCTCCATATTTAAGAGACTCTTATGTTTTGTCCCCCTCCCTGTTTTTATATTATTTATTTCCCTTATGTTCATCTGATTTGTTTCCTAAAGTCTTCATATGAGTGAAATCAGATGGTATATGTCTTTGTCTAATTTCCCTTAGCGCAATACCCTCTAGTTCCATCCACATAGTTGCAAATGGAAAACATTTCTTAATGTTTATTTATTTTTGAGAGAGAGAGGGAGATAGAGCACAAGCAGGGCAGGGGCAGAGAGAGAGGAGACACAGAATCCAAAGCAGGCTCCAGGCTCTGAGCTGTCAGCACAGAGCTGGACGTGGGGCTTGAACTCACAGACCAAGAGATCATGACCTAAGCAGAAGTCAGACATTTCATCAACTGAGCCCCCCCCAGGCATTTCTTTTTTTGAAACCCAGTTTGATAATCTTTTTAAGTATAATGTTCAGTTCATTGACATTTATTTTTTTTATTTATTTTTTATTTTTTTAAATGTTTTATTTATTTCTAGGAGACAGAGAGAGAGACAGCGTGAGCAGGGGAGGGTCAGAGAGAGAGGGAGTCACAGACCGAAACAGGCTCCAGCCTCTGAGCTGGCAGTCAGCACAGAGCCCGACGCGGGGCTCAAACCCACGAACCGCGAGATCATGACCTAAGCGAAAGTCGGACGCTTAACCGACTAAGCCACCCAGGCGCCCCTCATTGACATTTAAAATAATGAAAATAGGAGCAGACTTGAGTTTACCATCTTGTTGGTTATTTCCTATTTATCCCATGTTTTATCTTTCCCTGTCCTTTCTTTCTCGTCATCTTTTCATTCCATTATTTGTTAGAATTTCAAAATTAACTTCTCTATTGGCTTTTTAGGTATGCCTCTTAGCAGGGGAGGGACACAGAGAGAGAGAACAAGTGTGCACCTAGGTGGGAGAGGGGTAGAGAGAGAGGGAGGGAGAGAGAATCCCAAGCTTTGGGTCCTCTGTCCCCTCTCTCTCTGCTCCTGCCCTACTCACACATGCGTGTGTGCGTGCTCTCTCTCTCAAAATAAATAAATAAACTTAAAAAAAAAAAATGTCCTGTGTTTCCATGTCACTCTATTCTTTCCAACACTTCTCTCATTTATAGTTACACTGTAGACTTTATATCCGTGATTATTTATACGGGGTGATTAGAACGAATGTATCTTTCAGAGAATACAATCTCCCCCTCACTTCATCCCTGGCCTCACCCCCAGGCCAGTTGTGTTGGGAGAGAGATCATTGGTAAGTTCGGTACATGGTAAGTCATGACCAAATCCATTCTCCTTCCACCTGCATTTCACATGCACCATACCGTCTCTTCCCCATTATCTACCTTTCCTCTTAAGTACTCATCTTTATAATGTAATGAAAATTTGTACCACTTTTGTGACCAGAAAAAGTGATATCAATATGTAACTCAAGGTTACCTTTCCTCCAGAAAACATTCCTTCATAAATCCAACCATTTTTAAACCTCTCAGTACAGCAACTAATCTGTCTACCCACTTAACACCTTGGAAGTTTTTATATTACATAAATTATCATTTTAGTCAACTACATTCTTAAGAATTAACCTAAACTTGAGGCTTTGGGGGATCCTTTTCTTTTGCGTTAGAACTGAAAAGAATATGCAGAATCACTTCCGCCAACTGACAGAACTTACTCCCTTAAATAAAACTTTGAACAAACTACCTCCTGAATAACTTAGTTTATTCTGCCCTTGGAAATGGACTCTCCCAGAAGTCAAGGCGCGCAAGAACAGTGTGTTTGTGAAGAGCAGTGAGAAGGGCAAACACATGACGTGAAAGCCAAGGACGGGCTAATTTACAATTCCAAAACTGTAAACAGTGTGCGGCTACGGGGACCCCAGGGACCTGCAGCCGTCATCTCGGTGGCACATGCCTCTAGCTTACGTTCCAGTAGACACTGCTTCGCACGAGTACGCTTTGCCTGCAGGAGTTTAAAACCCAGATGTCGGAGATGAACAAATAGCACCTTCTAGAGAATATTACTTAGAACCCAGTGCAAACGTTTTCCCGTAAAAGCCATTCATCCAGGGCTTAGCAGGCGCTTGGTGAAAGCTCATCAGTCACCCGGTACGGCGGAGCGCTTGTCCTCACCCACCTGTGACTTTGGTTCCGATGACCAGGGGCAAAGGGATCTCGTCCGGGAGATCTTTGAACTGCGAGACGTCTGCAACCTTCCTCTGTTGCAAGAGCCGTATTTTCTGACGTTTCTGTTTTAATGCTGATCTCTCTTCCTCAAAAAATGCAGAAGAACATCTAGAATAAATTATAAAAATCCTGTAAGCTGCTAACCATCCTACACGGAAACCTGGCATCAGACTGTCCACCTCACGGTTCCCTCTTTTCCTCTCTGAGAAATTGGTTCAAAAACAGGTTCATAGAAACGGGAATTGTTTCTCTTCATTCTAAAAACAGGACCTTGGCAAGACTCGAAAGAGACTTAAGCAAGTCTAGACTGTCCTTTCCTGCGGAGGAGGAGGGCTGGTCCACTCTCCTCTGGCACCACTGCACATGGATCCTGGGCCTCCTTCCGGGCCCGAATTCAATTACAATATTCTCTTCGGAAGAACAAGATATCTTCCCTGTGACTCGGTAAGCTACCAACGCAGAGTTAGAGTTAAAGATCACATTTACCACTGTATGAAGGGTTAATCATACTTCCTGCCTTGAGCATAAACACTGAAGAATTTACTCTTATCTTTAGGGCCTTACTTCTTCTTCTTCTTCTTCTTCTTCTTTTTTTCTTTAATGTTTATTATCTACTTCTGAGATAGAGACAGAGTGCAAGCAGGGGAGGAGCAGAGAGAGGGGAGGGCACAGAATCCCAAGCAGGCTCCAGGCTCCGAGCTGTCAGCAAAGAGCCCAATGCAGGGCTCGAACCCATGAACCACGAGATCATGCCCATGAGCCAAAGTCGGATGCTTAACCAACTGAGCCACCCAGGCACCCCCCCCCCTACCTTTTATAACTGTTTATTTATTTATTTTGAGAGAGACAGACAATCCTAAGCAGGCTCCCTGCTGTCAGCGCAGAATTCAACACGGGGCTCAGTCACATGACGGAGAGACCATGACCCGAGCCAATATCAAGAGTCGGACACTCAACCAACGGAGCCCCTGGGCGTCCCAGGCCTGTGGTACTTCTATTCTCAATACTGGGACGAGCCGTGGGAACGTAAGCAAAGCTTTCATGCCACAAAATACAGATCCACGAAACCGTCACGAAGACAAGAGAAGGGACATTTCAAGACATTGATCACTCCTCAAAGTTTCCTCGTGGTACTTTACTGTTCTATTTTTTAAAAAATATTTAGTTTTTTGTTGGGGGGGAGAGGGAAAGAGAGAGGGAGACACAGAATCTGAAGCAGGCTCCAGGCTCTGAGCTGTCAGCACAGAGCCCAAAACGGAGCTTGAACTCACAAACTGTAAGATCACGACCTGAGCTGAAGTTGGACGCTTAACTGACTGAGCCCCCCGGGCGCCCCTGTTCCTATTTTTATACCGCACTTCTGAAGCTGTCACTAAGTTGCTTTCTGTCATTATAGTTTCTATCTTCTACAATTTTATATAAATGAAATCATCCGGTGCGACCTCTTCTGTCGGGCTTCCTTCACTCAGCAGAATTATCCCAAGAGGAATCCGTGCTGCAGGCGGCCATGGTTCTTTCTTACTGGAGCACCGTCTCCTACTCTATGAGTGTGTCGTAACTTGTTTATCTGCTCACCTAGCGGTGGACAGTCGGGTGGTTTCCACTGTGGGGCAATTACAACTAAGGTGATAGGAAATCTACGTATAGATTTTTGTATAAATATATGGTTTAATTTCTCTCCACTAAATACCTAGGAGTGGAACGGCTGGGTCATAGGTCAGCGTGTGCTTAGCAACATGTTACCAAAGAAGACGCATAAGCCTACTTGATGCTCCACGTTGTATGTCCTGAGGGAAATGCGCGTTAACGGAGGCACTAGCACACACCTGTTAGAATGACCGAGCTCTGGAACACCGACGGCAGCGCACGCTGGCAAGCGTGGGAACAGAAGCCCTCACTCCTTCAGGTGGGAACGCGAAACGGCGCGGCCACTCTGGGAGACGGTCTGATGGTTTCTTACAACACCACGCACACTCTTACCATACAATCAAGTAACCGCGCTCCTTCGTATCTACCCAGATGAGCGGGAAACTCAGGTCCGCAACAAAACTCCAACACAGATGCTCACGGCAGCTCTACTCATAACTGCCCAAACTTGGAAGCGACCAAGATGTCCTTTGGTGAATGGATAAATAGTGGGATATTCGGACAATGGGACATTATTCAGAACTACTGGGGTGCCTCAGGGGCTCAGTCGGTTAAGCGTCAGACTCCGGATTTCAGATCAGGTCATGATCTCACAGTCATGAGATCGAGGCCCATGTAGGGCTCTGCACTGACCGTGAAGCCTACTCAAGATTCTTTCCCTCCTTCTCACTTTGCCCCTCCCCCACTTGCGCTCTCTCACAAAAATTTTAATTTAAAAACAAAAAGGCTGAACTATCAAGCCATGAGAAGACATGGAGGAACCTGAAATGTATGTCACGAAGTGAAAGAGGCCAATCTGAAAAGGCTACATACTGTGTGATTCCGATACGTGACAGTGGAAAACGGAGAGCCCTGGAGACAATAAGAAGGTCAGTGGCCAGTAGGTGGGACCGTGGGGACAGGAAGGACTAAGCGGAGCACAAAAGACTTCTAGAGCAGTAAAAACACTCTATGCTATTCTGACGGTAGATATGTCATTACACATTTTTAAAAACCCATAGACTGTACAAAACCAAGACTGAACCCTAACGTAAACTATGGACTTTGGGTGATTATGATGGGTTGATGCAGATCCATCAGCTCACAAACGTACCACTTTGGTGGGAGACGCTGACTTTGGGGAAGGCTAGGTCTACGTGGGGGCTAGGGGTATACAAGAAAATCTCTAGATCCCCCTCTTGATTTGGTTGTGAACCCAAAATTTTCTAAATGAATAGTCTTCGAAAGAGAGAAACTATCAAAATGTTTTCCAAAGTGGTGGCACCATTTTATATTCCCATTAACAGCACAGAGAATTCCAAGTTTCCCGCTAGCCTCGCCAGCACTTGGTATGCTTAACTTTGTAAGTTGTAGACCCTGTGGGTTACCTTGCATCTTCCTATTGACTAACATGGTGAATATCTTATTTATTTGATATCCTTATATCTTTGGTGAAGCATCTATTCAAATCATTTGGCAATTTGTTAACTGGGTTAGCTCTATTTTCTGCATTTAAAAAAAATTGAGGTATAATTGATTGACAATGTTATGTTAGTTTAAGGTGTACAATACAACGATTTGACAATTTTCTACATCATTCAATGCTCACCACAATAAATATGGTCAACGTCTGTCACCACATGCTATTACATTATTAGTGACTAGATTCCCTATGCTGTACTCTTCCTCTCCATGACTTATCCAAGTCCCTATTTCATCCACCCATCCCACCCACTGTCCCTCGGATAACTACCAGTTAGTTCTCTGTATTTAAGAATATTTGGGAGGTGCCTGTGGGGCTCATCAGTTTTGCGCCCGACTTTGGCTCAGCTCATGATCTCATGGTTCGTGAGTTCGAGCCCCATGTAGGCCTCTGTGCTGACAGCTCAGAGCCTGGAGCCTGCTTTGGATTCTGTGTCCCCCTCTCTCTCTGCCCCTTCCCCGCTCATGCTCTCTCAAAAATGAATAAACATTAAAAAAAATTTTTTAAGTGAGTCTTTTGGTTTTTTTTCTTTGTTTAGATTCCACATATAAGTGAAATCATATGGTATTTGTCTTTCTTTGTGTGACTTATTTCACTTACTGTAATGCCCTCTAGGTCCATCAGTATTGTTGCCAATGGCAAGATTTCACTTTTTTATGGTTGAGTAACATTCGTGTGCGTGTGTGAGTGTGTGCATGTGTGTTCATCCATGGATGGACACTCGGGTTGCTTGCTTATCTTGGCTACTATATATAACGCCACAATAAACACAGGGGTGCATGTATCACTTTGAATTACTATTTTCATTTTCTTTGGGTAAATACCCAGTAGAATTACTGGACAATACAGCATATTTTTTATTTTTTTAAATGTTCATTTACTTTTGAGAGAAACAGAGTGCTTGCACTATTTCCCACAGTGATTCCAGCACGTTCCGTTCTCACCAACAGCACATGCGAGTGGCCTGAGCTGCGCCGCACCCTCCCCAACTCTTGCTATTTCTTGTCTTGCAGCCATCCTGACCGCTGTGAGGTGCTCTCATACAGGTTTTGTATTTCCCAGTGATGAGTGGTGCTGAGCATCTTTCTATGTGTCTGTTGGCCATCTGGTTGTCTTCCTTGGAGAAATATCTATTCAGGTCCTCTGCCCATTTTGTAACTGGATTGTTTATTTTTCTGGGGTTGAGTTGTGGAAGTTCTTTCTATGTTTTGGATACTAACCCCTTGTCAGATAGAACATCTGCAAATATCTTATCCCATTTAGTAGTCTGCTGTTTTGTTTTATTGATGGTTCCTTTTGCTGTGCATGTTTGATCTTTATTAGGAAATTTCCAGGGATTTTATAACTCTGGATAAGATATACTCTTTCAGTAATTTTTATTTGAATAGTGTTTTTTAATAGTACCTTTACATGGGTTCTAATTTATAAGGTTCAAAAGGCACTAAAAACTAAATACCCACATCCCTCGGCTTCCCAGTTTGCCTTCCAGACGGTCACTATTCAAATTTCTCAGGCATCCTTCATTCATACTTTGGGCAGATCCAAGCAAAACCGTACATGTTCCCCTCCTATTTTCTCAGAAAGCTACTATATGCCCTGTGTGTTTCTGCCTTCTTTTCTGAATGTATTTTAGCAATCTTTTCTAAGTCAGCACATGAGGAATTCTCTCTGCTTTTATTTTGGTTTACATTAAGTGGTTTCAAAGTGGTCACTATAGTGAGAGGCTGTATTTGAATTAATCACGCCCCTATTAATGGACATTCACAGTTTGCCAATCTTTTGCTACTAGAAGTAATACTGTAGTAAGTAACGCTCGTGTACGGACTTTCTGTAAGCTCACTTTGTAGAACTCCTAGGTCACAGGGTATGGCGATTTGTGAATCTGATAGAGATTATCAAACTGCCCTTCACAGAGGCCATCTAAATGTACTCTCACCAGCAAGCGGGACTATTCACCATGTCCCCCGCCAACGTAATGCATAAAAGCTTTATGAACTAAAACCCAGTATCTCAGCTTACTCTGATTTTCCATTTCTTACTAGGAGTAAGACTGACTTCTTTTCATGTGTTTACAAGATCCATTTCCCCCCTTTTCCTATGTACTGTTTATAATCATTTTTAGGGGCGCCTGGGTGGCTTAGTCGGTTAAGCGTCCGACTTTCGCTTAGGTCATGATCTCGCGGTTCGTGGGTTCGAGCCCCACGTTGGGCTCTGTGCTGACTGACAGCTCAGAGCCTGAAGCCTGTTTTGGTCTGTGACTCCCTCTCTCTCTGACCCTCCCCTGCTCACACTGTCTCTCTCTCTGTCTCTCTCCTAGAAATAAATAAAATATTAAAAAAAAATCTATAATCATTTTTATTATGGATTATCTGACTTTTTCTGATTGACTCACAGTAACTTTATTTACATATTAGGAAATTAGGCTTTGTGATAAGAATTATAAATATTTTTGTCATTGTCTTTTGACTTCATGTTTCATCTGGAGGGGGTAATGCACAATGTCATAAATTTTTTTAACTTTTTTTTTTTTTTGAGAGAGAGAGAGAGAGAGCATGAGCACTGCGTAGGGGCAGAGAGACAGAGGGAGACACAGAATCCGAAGCAGGCTCCAGGCTCTGAGCTGTTAGCACAGAGGCTCAAACTCATAGACCATGAGATCATGACTTGAGCTGAAGTCAGACGCTTAACCAAGGCGCCCCTGAAATGTTATTTTTAAGCAGCTAAATTTGTTGATATTTTCCTTTATGATGCCTAGCTTTGGGGACTCTTAGAAAGACCTTTCTCACTCAAGATTAAGCCAAACTCTCAAATTTCTCTACTAGTTTTACTGTTTCATTTTTTAAGATTTTTTTTCTTTCTTAGTAATCTCTACACCCAACATGGGGCTTGAACTTCAAGATCCAGAGTCGCACGCTCTACTGACTGAGCCAGCCAGGCACCCCTCATTTTTAAAATATTTAAATATTGGGGTGCCTGGGTGGCTCAGTCAGTTGGGTGTCCGACTTCGGCTCAGTTCATGATGTCAACACTCATGAGTTTGAGCCCCGTGTCAGGCTCTGTGCTGACAGCTCAGAGCCTGGAGCCTACTTCCAATTCTGTGTCTCCCTCTCTCTCTGCCCTTCACCCGCTCGTGCTCTGTCTCTCTCAGTCTCTCAGAAATAAATGTTAAAAAAAATAATAATTAAAATATTTAAATCTTTCAAGGGCACCTCTGTGGCTCAGTTGGTTAAGTGTCCAACTTCGGTTCAGGTCATGATCTCGCAGTTCACGAGTTCGAGCCCCGCATTGGGCTCCGTGCTGACAGCTCAGAGCCTGGAGCCTGCTTCAGATTCTGTGTCTCCCTCTCTCTGGCTCTCCCCTGCTCACACTCTCTCTCTCAAAAAAATAAACATTAAACAATCTTCTTAAATATTTAAGTCTTTCATCTTTTCCAATTTTTTCCTGGTGTAAGATCTTGAGGTACGAAAGCAGCTCCGTTTTGCTCTAGGTTGCTACAGTCGTCTCAATATCCATTAAGTGACTAATGTCACCCCTTCCTCCCCTCGTGCATGTGAGAGGTGACTACTGCTATTATCCATTAAATTCCCAGAGACATCTGTGACGCTATCTGGATTCGTTTTTTTAGTTCATCTATTTATGTGCCGTTACTATCCTGTGTTAACAATGATCGCTTTGTAATCTATTTTAGTATCTGGTAAGTATAGTCTCCCTTCGTTACTTTGCTCCTCCAGATTTTTCCAAGATCTTCTCACTTGATTTCTGCTCTCTTAAATGTAAATTTGAGAATTAGTTCATTGAGTTAAAAAAAAAAAAAAGTCCTATTGATATTTTTGAGACTGATTTGAATTTACAGATTAACTTAGAACATGAAGTCTTCTTATCAGACCTCAAATACGTCTTTCCATTTTGCCATCCCTATGCTGCATGTTTTCTTCCTGACATTTTATCATTTTTTAGGGTATTTTAAAAAGTATATTTTAGCAATAATCTGTATTGCACCTTGACTTCCTCAGAGAAAAGAAAAACTATAAACTTCTGTTGAAACTAAAGACTTCGTTTCAACTGTGAATTAACTTTGATAAAGTAAAGAGCTACAATATTAAGCAACGTTATGGTACACTAACAGGGAATAAATTAACGAGAAATATTTCAACGATACTCTTAAACTACAGAATTATAACAAAACAATAAAATAGTGACTAACATATGATTCTGATGGACAATAATTAGAAACAAGAAGCTCAATTTACTCAAACACGTAAAGTCACAGCTTTGCACGAAAATGGCCTAAAGGAATGAATTACCAAAGACCCTAAACTACGAGGATGAAACACACTAGTCCATCACGTTTTAATTCCGTTATAAAGGAGGGAAATATTTACGACAGCAGCAGCAGCGTCATCTTGCAATATGTACACAAAATACTACCACTTCAATGAAAAGTTATCCTTGCATTTCATCACTATAGTGTCCTTAAAACTGGGGCGCCTGGGTGGTCAGTCGGTTAAGCGCTCAGCTTTAGCTCAAGCCTTGAACTCACAGTTCGTGAGTTCAAGCCCCATGTTACGCTCTGTGCTGACAGCTCAGAGCCTGGAGCCTGCCTCGAATTCTGTGTCTCCCTCTCTCTCTGCCCCTCCCCTGCTTGTGCTCTTACTCTCTTTCTCAAAAATAAACTAACATTAAAAAAAATCATTAAAACTAAAATCTGTTTCTACTTGCCCAAGTCACTTTATATTTCCATGCCCTCCATGAACTTTCCCACCATTTAAGTGAAAAAGTCTTGGGGCTCCTGGGGGGCTCAGTCGGTTACATCTCTGACTTTGGTTCAGGTCATGATCTTGGGGGTCGTGAGTTCGAGCCCCACATTGAGCTCCACACTGACAGCACAGAGCCTGCTTGGGATTCTCTCTCTGCCCCTCCCCTGTGTATGCACCTCGCTCTCTCACTCTCTCTCAAAATAAATAAGAAGCAAGTGAAAAAAATCTAGTACATGCTTTTAATAGGCAGACAATATCAGAACAGATTTCAAAAAAAGTTTTAAGTTTCATTTATTTAAGCAATCTCTATACTCCATGTGGGGCTCGAACTCACAACTTCAAGATCAAGAGCCACATGTTCCTCTAAGCCAGCCAGGCACCCCAGATTTCAAAATTTCACTCAAAAGTATTATGAGGTTTTCCAGTGCGCCTGGGTGGTTCAGTTGGTTAAATGTTCGACTTTGGCTCAGATCATAATCTCCCAGTTCATTGGTTTGGGCCCCACGTCAGGCTCTGTGCTGACAGCTTGGAGCCTGGAGCTGCTTCAGATTCTGTGTCCTTCTCTCTCTGTTCCTCCCCCACTCTTGTGCTTTCTCTCTCCATCTCTCAAAAGTAAACATTAAAAACTTTTAAACATTTTTTAAAAATTGTTTTTAATGTTTATTTATTTTTGACAGAAAGAGAGACAGAGTGTCAATGGAGAAGGGGCAGAAGAGAGGGAGACACAGAATTTGAAGTAGGATCCAGGCCCTGAGCTCTCAGCACAGAGGCTGACGCAGAGCTCGAACTCACAGACTCTGAGATCATAACCGGAGCTAAAGTTGGATACTTAACTGAGTCTCCCAGACACCCCTAAAAAAAATTTTTTTTAAGTAATGTTCAGAAAATAACAGATCCACTTGATTTTTCTTTCTGGGTTTTGTTTTTTTGAGATAGAATGTGCTTTTATTTATTTTACTGAGGTATAACAGACACGTAGCACCTTGTACAATGGAAAATTTGGGGAACCACGTTATTTCAAATTTTGTGCAGAAAGTGGGAGTTTGGGGCACCTGTGTGGCTCAGGTGGTTAAGGTTTTCACAGTTGTGAAATCGAGCCCTGGATCAGGTCCCGTGCTGACAGTGAGGAGCCTCCTGGGGATTCTCTTGCTCCCTCTCTCTTTCTGCCCCTGCCCCGCTCGTGGGGGGCTCTCAGAATGATTCAGTATTTGTATATATTGCAAAAACATCACCACAATAGTCATCATCTGTCGCCATATACAGTTAAAAATCCTGTTTTCTTGTGATGAGATCTTTTAAGATCTTTTTTTTTTTTTTTTTACTGGGTGTAGCCCAACTTCATGGGCCTTGAACTCATGACCCTGTGATCACAACCTGGGCAGAGATCAAGAGGCAGATGGGGGCATCTCGGGGGCTTAGCTGGTTAAGCATCCAGCTCTTGATTTCTGCTCAGGTCATGATCTCAGTGCTCCCGAGATTGAGCTCCGAGTCAGGCCCCCAGAGCCTACTTGGGATTCTCTCTCTCTCCCTCTCTTTCTGCCTCTCTCCTGCCCTAGTGCTCTCTCTCAAAATAAATAGTTTTTTTTTAAAGCAAAAAAATCAGGGGCTCCTGGGTGGCTCAGTTGGTTAAGCATCAGACTTCAGCTCAGGCATGATCTCTCAGCTTGTGAGTTCAAGCCCCACATCGGGCTCTGTGCTGACAGCTCGGAGCCTGCTTTGGATCTTCTGTGTCCCTCTCTCTCTGTCCCTCCCATCCTAGAGCTCGCCTGCTCGCTCTCTCTCTCTCTCTCTCTCTCCCTCCTCTCAAAAATAAACACTTAAGAAAATAATAAAATCAAAAAATAATAAAAAAAGAAGTATGTTCAAAGCCTGTGACCTGAACAAAGGCTAGTTAACAGGATTTATTTAACATATAATTACTCCAAAAAGTTAGGTTTCTAGTTTTTGTGAAGATGAAAAAAAACCCAATGTGGTAATCATACTACCAAGTAATTTGTTGGTTTTATTTTACATAAAAATGTGATTTTTACCTCCGTGGTTTTCCCATAAGCCGCCTGATTTTCCCCCATTCTACTCTTGTTAACTTTCTTGTTTTCAGATTGGGAAAAGATTCCTTCAGACATACACAGAAGTCATTATCGCCTTCAAAAAGTGGCCTGTAAAACAGAAATAGTATTTTCATGGTTAATAGGCAACGGGCTGCTGCGAGGCACACATTCCAAAACACACTTTCCAGTGTTCAACGTCATGCTAATCACAAAACTCCAACTTCCCTTCTACCCAGAACACATGCGGAACAGGCACAGGCTCAGAGTGCTAAGCCTAAAAGTGGCGTCTGTGACCCAGTCTGGGAAACCACCCACGCTGCAAGTTACTCGAGAAACAGGTCTGGGCCTGAGATTCTAGGAGACGCTGGTTTCTGTGCGGCCCGCACGCATGTGAGTGGGTCCTCTGGGAAGGCGGCCTAGCGCCTGGCACGACACCGGGGGTGGGGGGTGGGGGGCGGGGCGAACGTTAGCTACGAAGTATCTTTGTCCCAAGGGTGATGGCAACACCAAGGAGTCCTCTTGGGGATTAAATCAGTTTTAGAAAACTGGAGGACTCTAGAGGGTTAGATCAGTTCTTGGAAATTCCAGAACTCAGATCACACGTGGACACCCTGGGGGTCTCATACATAAACCTATGGAAAAATCTGTGGATGAAAATAAAACCATTTCATTCATGAGTTTGGGAAATCAGAAACCAGTCTAAGCAACCAAACGACATGTGAGTATCAGGCTCGAATATGAACATTCACAAGAGTCACTACAGTGTAGACAACTGGCCTAGAAACCAGGGAAGAGAAGTCAAGATAAGTAGCCAGCAGAGTGAGCATCAGTGACTAGTGTAGATTCGATTGGATTAGAATTTTTCTGTAGTCAATCCCATTGTTGAATAACTGGATTTCCCCCACATTTCTTACTATATTCTATTTAAACAGTTATGTATAACTGAGGTACGTAAATACTATGTCCCACATAAAAAGCCTACCCGAAAAATCTTATGGAATCATTTCTACCATCAGTAACTGCTTCTCTACCAATATCCTAGCATGTTTTTTAAGTAGGCTCCACGCCCAATGGGGCTAGAACTCACAACCCGGAGATCAAGAGTTGGATGGTCTAATGACTGAGCCAGCCAGGAGTGCCCCAAAATACTAAAATCTCAAGATTTGAGGCACCTGAGTGGGTCAGTCAGTTAAGTGTCAACTCTTGATTTCAGTTCAGGTCATGAACCCACAGTCATGAGTTCGAGCCCTGAATTGGGGTCTGAGCTGGGCATGGAGCCTGTTTGGGATCCTCTCTCTCGCTCTCTCCTGCATGCTTGCGCTCTCTCTCTAAAAGAAGAAAAAAATCTCCAGATTTGTAAACCATGCCTGGCTCATTACAAATAAGGGAGCTCTGTGTTAGGGTATCTCTGCTCCACAGCCTCTATAAATTATAATATAGAAATTATACTTTCATTTGATTTTTCACAAAAATCTGTAACAACTTCTGCAAAAGGGGAGGGGGAAAACTATGCGGAATGAAAATGGATCAAACTAGAATGGAGAAGAGAAAGAGGAAATTGGGAAAAAACATACAGAAAAGAGTATAGCTTATAATATTTGAAAAAGTTAAATTTCTGGTTCCGGTGAGATTCACAATGTAAGCCATGATACATACTTATCTATATTTGAGTAGAACCATTCATATATACACCATTTATGTGCTTTGGGAAGCTTGAGTAGGTTACGTAATCGAAAACCAATCTTCTGTGAGGCTTTCTTATCCGGTGTTGACATTGTTGCTGTAAATTTCTATACAATAAAAAGAGATGAATTACAGGTCCATTGAGTAAAAATGAACAAACACCTGTAACATCAAAGACATTTTTAAGAAAGTACATTATGGTTAAGAACTCGAGGAGGTTCGACAAGAAAATTTTCTGTTATTACTTAACAAAATAAGCATTCTGATGATTTCTTACAAAGGTAAAACCTCCAGTTTCATAACCTCTTCTGACAAGGAAAGTGAAATGCCCACCATGTGGCCACCGCAGGACACGGAGGAAGAAGGAAAGTGTGACGGAGGGAGACAAGGCAGGCACACTGGCACCAGGCCCGAGGGCGCACCGGCGAACCTCTATCCAACTACAGCATCAGTGGTGCTGGGCACATGCTTCCATTCAGGGAAGAAAGATCTTCCCAACCATTTTTATAAAGGCGCATTACAAATAAAATCTGCCAAAGTATAATACAAGAAAATTCCAAAAAATATCACTCATCTGCATGAATTTTAAAAATGTTTGGAAGGACACTCCATGCCCATGGGTGGGAAAAATTAGCATTTGTGAGAATGTCCATTCTATTGGGGCACCTGGGGGACTCAGTTGATGAAGTGTCGACTCTTGGTTTCGGCTCAGGTCATGACCTCACGGTTTGTGGGATCAAGCCTCGCATCGAGCTCCATGCTGTTAGTGAAGGGCCTGCTTGGGGTTCTCTCTCTCTCGCTCTCTGCCCTCCCCCGCTCATTCTCTCTCCCTCAAGATAAATAAACTTTAAAAAAAAATGTCCACACTATCTAAACCAATCTAAAATTCAATGCATCCCTATGAAAACTCCAATGACATTTTCCACAGAAGTATAACAGTCTTCAAGTCATGGAATCACAAAAGATCCTGAGTGGCCAAGGCAGTCTTGAGAAGGAAGACCAAAGCTGGAGACCTCATTCCCTAATTTCAACTATACTACGAACTACGGTAATCAAAACAGTATCATATTGGCATAAGAACACATAGGTTGGTAAAACAGAATAGGGAGCCCAGGAAGAAAAGCATGCATTTATGGCCAAGTAACTTACAACAGGGGAGGCGAGAACATACAATGTGGAAAGGACAGTCTCTTCAACACATGGCGCTGGGAACACTAGAAGCCACATGTCAAAGGATGAATCTGGACACTCTCTTACACCACACACAAAAATAAACTCAAACAGGGTAAAGACTTGAACATAAGATCTGAACCATAAAATTCCTAGGAAAACACGTAAGTGTTAAGTTCCTAGAGCCTGGTCTTTGTGAGGATTCTTTTTGAATTCAACACTGAATGCAAAGGCGGCAAAAGCAAAAATTGACAACTGGGACCACGTTAAGCTAAAAAGCTTCTGCACAGCAAAAGAAACTGTCAACAAAATGAAAAGGCAACCTACAGAATGCGTGAAAATATTTGCAAATTGTATATCTGATCAAGGGTTAATATCCAAAATATATAAAAAATTCATGCAACTCAACAGCAAAAAAATAATCCAATTAAGGGGCACCTGTGTAGCTCAGTTAGTTAAGTGTCGTCTTCAGCTCAGGTCATGATCTCAGGTTTGTGGGTTTGAGCCCCACGTCGGGCTCTGTGATGACTGCCAGCTCAGAGCCTGGGGCCTGCTTCAGATTCTGTGTTTCCCTCTCTCTCTGACCCTCCCCTGCTCACTCTGTATCTCTCTCTCTCTCTCTCTCAGAAATAAATGAAAGGATTAAAAAAAAATCCAATTAAAAAATGGGCAGAGGATATGAAGAAACATTTTCCCAAAGACATACAGATGGCCAACAGGTACACAAAAAGGTCAACGTGACTCATCATCAGGGAAACCACAACGGGGTATGACTTCACATCTAGCAAAGGGGCCAATGTTATAACAAAGACAAGAAACAACAGGTGTTGGCGAGGATGCGGAGAAAGGGGACCCTGTGCACTGTGGGTGGGGATGCAGACTGGTGCAGCCGTTGTGGGAAACAGCATGGGAGTTCCTCAAAAAACTTATTTATTATAGGCAAGACCCGGAGGCTACCTAAGTGTCCATCAATGGATGGTAACGAAGACGCAGTGTGTATATACTTTCATATACACATGTACACACACACACACACACATACACCACACACACACAGAGCAATATTACTCAGCTATAAAAAAGAGAATGAAACCTTCCCATGTGCAATAACACGAATGGGCCCTGAGGGTATACCGCTAAGCGAAATAAGTCAGAAAAAGACAAACACCATATGATCTCATGTATATGTGAAATCTAAAAAAAAACTCTCTCGGGGCGCCTGGGTGGCTTAGTCGGTTAAGCGTCCGACTTTCGCTTGGGTCATGATCTCGCGGTTCGTGGGTTCGAGCCCCGCGTTGGGCTCTGTGCTGGCTGCCAGCTCAGAGCCTGGAGCCTGTTTCAGTCTGTGACTCCCTCTCTCTCTGACCCTTCCCTGCTCACGCTGTCTCTCTTTCTCTCCTAGAAATAAATAAAAACATTAAAAAAAAAATTAAAAAAAAAAAAACTCTCTGAAAAACAAAACAGACCAATAAAAACCAAAAAACAAAAAACAAATAAATGAAACTCATAAATACAGAGAGACTGGTGGTTGCTAGGCAGAGTGGGGGAAATGAAATGGGGGAGAGGGGTCAAAAGACATAAACTTCCGGTTATGAAGCCAGTGTCCGTGGGCATGTAACGTACAGTGTGAGGACCATGGTAAATTCTGTCTTGCATATTTAAAGGTCCTAACAGAACAGGTTTTAGAAGTTCTCATCACAAGAAGGGCACCTGGGTGGCTAGTCGGTTGAGTGTTGGACTCTTGATTTCGGCTCAGGTCGTGATCTCATGGTTCGTGAGGTTGAGCCCCACATCAGGCTCTGTGCTGACAACTCGGAGGCTGCTTAGGACTGTCTCTCCCTCTCTCTCTGCCCCTCCCCCTCCCGTGCACGCGCACGCGCACACACACAGTCTCTATCTGAAAATAAACTTAAGCAAAAGTTCTCAAGAAACCTTTTAAACTTTTAAGCACAAGAAACAAAATTTGGGACTATGGGGACAGATGTTAACTATACTTACTGTGGTAATCATTCTGCCATGTACACAATATCAAATTATTATGTTGTGTACCTGAAACTTATATAACGTTATATGCCAACGATATCTCAATTTTCTCGAAGCTTAAAATAAAAGTTACCAGCTACAACATCAGAACATCAAAAGAATGGAAGATCACAATCAAGTAGAATGAGGGGAAGGTCCTGTATGAGAAAACTATTAATACAGCCTGCCATTACTAATGAATTAAAACAATAAAGGGGGTGCCTGGGTGGCTCAGTCGGTTAGGCGTCCAACTTTGGCTCAGGTCATGATCTCACAGTTCGTGGGTTCGAGCCCCACGTTGGGCTCTATGCTGAAAGCTAGCTCAGAGCCTGGAGCCTGTTTCGGATTTTGTGTCTCCCTCTCTCTCTGACCTTCCCTGTGCACGCTGCCTCTTTCTCTCTCACACAAATAAATAAAAACATTTAAAAAATTTAAAAAGAAAAACAATAAAATCATATGATCACCTCTACTGGTGCTAAAGATATTTGACAAAACCCAGTACTCGTTAAAAAAAACTCTCAGTAGAACTGGGCAGAATGAAAGTACACAATATATCAATAGTTAAATGATACAGCTAAAGCAGTGCTTCGGGGAAAGGAGAGGGGTTGATTCATAGGTTAAATGCCTATATTAGATGAGAAGAAAGATTTAAGAAAAAAAGTAATAACCTATTATTCTACCTTAAGCTAGAAAAAGAAGAACAAAGAAAACCCAAAACAAGCACAAAGAATAAAAATAATAAAGATTAGAATAGAAGGGCGCCTGGCTGCCTGGTTGGTTAAGCCTCTGACTTCGGCTCAGGTCATGATCTCAGGGTTTGTGAGTTTGAGCCCCACGTCGGGCTCTGTGCTGACAGTTCGGAGCCTGGAGCCTGCTTCGGATTCTGTGTCCCCCTTTCTCTCTCTGCCCCTCCCCTGATCACATTGTCTCCCCCCTCCTCAAAAATAAATAAACATTAAAAAAATATTTTAAAAAATCAGAGCAGAAATAAATGAAATAGAAAAATAAGAGACAAAGTGATGAAACCAAAAGTTCTTTGAAAAGATCAACAAAATGGACAAACCTTTAGCTCTACTGACCAAGAAAATAAAAATAGACGGATACTTTCTGAACCTGTAAAACTTATTTCCTCCTCATTCCAACCCAAAAGTCATCATCATAGTCAATGTTAAAGTACTAAAACCATGTCATTAAAGTGAAGAATATGACCAAGGTGTTGACTATCACTCCTATTTTTTGCCATTGTTTTGATGGAATTAATCCAGTAAGAGGAATAAAAATTGTAAAGGAGAAGACAAAATCATTATTTGTAGGTGATATGGCTTTCTTAGCAAACTCCAGAAAACCAACTCTAGTCATTAAAAATAGTAAGAGAATTTACTGATGTGGGCGGATACAAAGTTGACATACGAAAGTCAGTATCCCAGGGGTGCCAGGCTCAGTTGATTGAGCGTCCAACTCTTGACTCTGGCTCAGGTCATGATCTCAGTTTGTAGGACGGAGCCCTACACTGGGCTTGGCACTGGTAACATGGGGTCTGCTTGGGGCTCTCTCCCTCCCTCTCTCTCCCCCTCCCCCGCCCCCACTCACATGTTCTCTCTCCAAATAAATAAATAAATAAACTAAAAAACCAAACAAGGGGCGCCTGGGTGGCTCAGTAGGTTAAACAACTGGCTCTTGATTTTGGCTCAGGTCATGATCTCACAGTTCAGGGGTTCAAGCCCTGTGTTGGGCTGTGCGCTGACAGTGCAGAGCCTGCTTGAGATTCTCTCCCTCTCCCTCTCTGCCCCTAGCCCGCTCATGCTTGTTCTCTCTCTCTGAATATTTTTTTTAAATGTTTTTTATTTATTTCTAGGAGAGAGAGACAGTGTGAGCAGGGGAGGGTCAGAGACAGAGGGAGTCACAGAGTAAAACAGGCTCCAGGCTCTGAGCTGGCAGTCAGCACAGAGCCCGACGCGGGGCTCGAACCCACGAACTGCGAGATCATGACCTAAGCGAAAGTTGGACGCTTAACCGACCAAGCCACCCAGGCGCCCCTCTCTCTGAATATTTTTGAAAAATCAGTATCTTAAAAAAAATCAGTACTTTTCTCTATAGAAGTGAGGACCAGTTAGATAATAAAACAAGAAATATCCGGTTCATGAAAGCAAAACATGACAAGCACAAAAGTATTAAACACTCAGGAACACCCTGAAGAAATGTACACGCTCAACACAGGAAAAGCATGTACAGTCTACAGGGGACTCCGAGGCCTAAATAAGTGGAACTACCTCCAGTCCTTGGATGGACGGCCCGAATGTTACACACATGTCACATGGCATAAATCAATTCATTCTAAAGTTCCTATGGAAAAATAACTGTGCAAGAAGGGGGAGTTGGGTGGCTTGATAGGCTGGGCAACTGATTCTTAATTTCAGCTCGGGTCATGATCTCATGGTTCATGAGTTCGAGCCCCACATCAGGCTCCATGCTGACAGCACAGAGCCTGCTTGAGAGTCCCCCTTCCCGTCTCTCTGCCCCTGCCCCAGTCATGCTCTCCCTCCCTCCCTCCCTCTCTCTCTCACAAAATAAACTTTTTAACAAAATGTGCAATATTAAGAAAGCCTAAGAAAAGAGTATGTAATAATGTCTTCACAGATATGAAAACACTACCTAAAAGCACATTAAAACAATTTGACACTAGCACATACAGGGACACACTAGACATAAAAAGCTACAAAGTCTAGAAATAATCCCAAATATATACAGGAATGTAGCTGTGATGCAGGCAGCACTTTATTTTTTAACGTATATTTATTTTGAGAGAGAGCACGAGCAGCGGTGGAGCAGACCCAGCAAGGGGGGGGGGTGCTGGGTCACACGACCTCAAGGTCACGACCTGAGCTGAAGTAAAGAGCGGGATGCAGGCAGCACTTTACATCCGTGCATGAGAGACGGACTCCTCAGTCGGCGTGGCCAGGGCTACTGCACAGTCCTCTGGGAAAAGACGAGGTTGCACCCTTACCTAACCCCTTGCCCAAAATAAATTCCAGAGGAAGTGAAAATGGAAGCCTTAAAAAAAATGAATTAAATACACATGAATTCAAAAACTATAAATTTTTGACTAAGGAAGGTCTTTCTGAGTAAGTATAAACCTAGGGAGTCATAAAAAGAATTATATTTGACCCTTCAATTTCTTTTTTCAGTCCTGCCTAGTAAAAAATGCACACACAGAGTCAAAAAACAAACTACAAACTGAAAAAAGATTACAATCAATACAAACAGACCAGGGGCACCTGGGTGGCTCAGTCAGCTAAGCGTCTGACTTCAGCTCAGGTCATGACCTCACGGTTAATGAGTTCGAACCCCGTGTCCGGCTCTGTGCTGAAAGCTCAGAGCCTGGAGCCTGCTTCAGATTCTGTGTCTCCCTCTTTCTCTCTGCCCCTCCCTGCTTACACTCTGTCTCTAAGATAAATAAACATTAAAAAAAAAAATACAAACAGGCCAAATGGCTAATATTCTTCATATATAAAAAATTCTTATGAATAAGAAAACGATCAGCAATCTAATAGAAAATAGGAAACAATCTAAACGGTTTATGGGGAAGAAATTGCTTTTCTCTTCTTTTATCACTTATTTATTTATTTATTTATTTATTTATTTATTTATTTTTAAAAGTAGGCTTCACATCTAGCACCAAAACCAGCACAGGGCTTGAACTCACAACCCTGAGATCAAGACCCGAGCTGAGATCAAGAGTCGTACACTTAACCAACTGAGCCTCCCCGGCGCCCTCAAGAAATCATGTTTAAACATATGTGAAAAGTGCCTCGAGGTCACTCACAGATGAAACGTCAGCTAACACTGGGGAGATGCTATGAGCAGACTGGCAAACAACTAGCTGCGTGTTTCCACGCGGAGCCGGCAGGCACTTGGGGGAACGGGCACTATGCTATATGGCTGGTGGATTGTGGGAGCCGGTGTAAGGCCTCTGGAGAACAAGGTGGCCCTATTTTCAGAGGTTTCACTGCGCGGGGGGACCTGGAGGGTGTTATGCTGAGTGACATCAGTCAATCAGGGAGAGACAAACACAGTAGGACTTCACTCATACATGGAATGTAAGATACAAAACAGATGAACATAAGGGAGGGAAGCGAAAAGAATACAGAAACGGGGAGGGAACAAAACATAAGACTCCTAAATACGGAGAACAAACCTAGGGTTGCTGGCGGGGCTGTGGGCAGGAGATGGGCCGAATGGGCAGGCAGCATTAGGGAGGACACTTGCGGGATGAGCACTGGGTGGTCTACACAGGGGACGGATCACTGCATTCTACTCCTGCAATCATCATTGCACTCTACGGTAACTTGGAGGTAAATTAAAAATAATAAAATAAAATAAAATAAAATAAAATAAAATAAAATAAAACAAAATAAAACAAAATAAAATAAAATAATAAAGTAAAACAGAACAAAATGTTTAAATGTGCATATCCTATGACCCAGCAGTTTCACATGTCAGGCACGTGTCCCAGGAAACACTTGCGAGTTTAGACAGGCATGTCTGGGGTGTTCGAGACCACATTGTCCGTAATAGTAAACATCTAGAGGGGCGCCTGGGTGGCTTAGTCGGTTAAGCGTCCGACTTTCGCTTAGGTCATGATCTCGCGGTTCGTGGGTTCGAGCCCCGCGTCGGGCTCTGTGCTGGCTGCCAGCTCAGAGCCTGGAGCCTG